AAGAACCGTCATGTTCATTAAGATTATGCTTATTTTTTATTTTTTTTAAGGGAAGCAAGTTCTACTTGGACAACGCGACGACGCTATTCAAGGAATTGAAAATTTAATTTGAAAATTTAATTTGACATTCTTAAATACTCTGAACGAGTATAATACATGCAGATTTACCTGTTTCTTTAACTTCAATAATTTAAATCTATCAAAGTCTGTCAAGGCGGCTTTTTTCTTACGATTCTCCAATTTCTTTGCCCATGCTGTCTGGTTCCACTTCTCTAAGATCTCTTCTTTTTCGAAATACTTCCTTACTATAGATGAACGACCGCCTCTAGGAAAGCCTTTAATTACAAGATCAGTAAGGGTTAGACGACGGAATGCATGAGAATGACGGGCAACACCGGTGGTTGGACCATCGATAAGGGCCTACCATTTTCAAAGTTTTGATTAGAATTATTAATACGTTCAAAGTACATTTGATCTAGAACAACTATTAATTGTAGCTCTTTTTAAACATTTTTGAGAATGATAATAATGAAAACATACCCTATTATGATCGATTATGTCAACGATAACAGCGAGCTTGCCCGCATCTTCACCGTAGTTAATGAAAACTACTCGACCAACTTCGACAAAACGTTTGAAAGAACTACTCTGAAATGAATCAAGATATAATAAAAAATTTTATCGGTCATTCAACTTCATATACTTTTAGATCTAGTAAGTCTTTAGATAATGTAAAATATTAAATCGACATATCACCATAATGCGGACGTGTGTTTAAGACGAAGTGGAATCGAAAGAGGAAGTATAAATTTTCATGATGCATCCTTAAATAATTCGGTGTCGTTTATTGGCTAGATAACTTTTTTTTTCAAGATCTGATTCAATTTGGTCACGAGATATAAGAAAATTTTAATATATACGTACTGCAGTATAATAGTTTGATTGGCTAATTTTATATCAATATTATCAATACAGTACTAGAAAACGAAAAGTTTACATATGAATCTGTTTTTTTCAAACGTAGTAGATATTAATTTTTTGTGTTTATTTATCGATTTATATAAATCTCGACTCTAAAACTAACCAATCTAACGAACTTCTTCCCAAACTACTGTTATAGAAAATAACTTTTCTATATATAAACTATATATACTAATTTTTATCTGTTCTTATTTGGTTAGATCGACGTAAATTAGCCAATCATATGGAAGTTCTCCCGATCTTAATTACTTCTGTACAGTATTTAGTTGGCTAAGCCGCATTTTTTAATAACATAGACTTGATCAATAATTAAGAACATACCACTAACATTAGCAAAATGTCACTGGTTGCAACAAGAGAACGTCGTGCGAATGCGGGCGCACGGTAAGTTGCTTTAAATTATTGCATTTTATTATGTTTATTGTTATTGTCTTTTTAATACTTGCATTATCATTGAATGAACATTAATCGACTCGAAAGAATGAGAGAACTTATCGAAAAAGAAATGGAATTAGAAGATATGTTTAAAGAGGTACCTGAAGATGATGATTTTATGGTTACTAAAGGTAAGGTATAATTTTTGGTAGTTAGATTGAATTATTCCCAGCTCATTTTAATTGAATTTGTAGAAGAGGAAGATTATTTTGATTCCGATTTTGATCAAAATAGCAGTGGACCGGAGGATAACAACGATACAGCTGAATTGCAAATACTACTGGAAGAAAGGCTGGAAAAGAAAGTATGCAGAATTCAATAATTATTTTCAGAAATTAATATTCGTGAATTTTCATCTTTTAATATACGTATTTTATGTTTAGAGATCGAAAAAATCAAATTTACCATTTCTAAATTCAGCTTCGCGGTTAAAAAAAAAGGATACTGATAAAGCTCCAGTAGCGTCTGAAACCATTCCAGATCAAAGTGTTAACGACGAATCTCCAAATATTATATCTGATAAGAAAAAGAAGTCTTCCAATACAAGTATGTTTTTAGTAATCATGATATGTATGCATAAATATATATATTTAAAATTTTCATTTATAGCACCACTTTTGCATGGTGTTAGATCATCGTCTCGTTCCCTCACAGTACAAAGTAAACAGATGTTAGCAGAGAAATTGAAGGAATACGAAAAAAAAAAGGTTTTATTTATTTTTTAATTTATATACACATTTATATGTTATTTGTTTACTATGGTGGTTTATTTTAATGTAGGCAGCACATCCAAAGCGTGAAAAAGTGATTGTTCATCGCAAAACTCAGGAGGAATTACTTGCCGAAGCTAAAGAAACAGAGGAAAAAAATTTAGCTTCACTTCGTGCTTTTGAATTAAGGGAGGCTGAAAAAAAATTGTCTGCAAAACAATCAAAAAAGGTTGTTATGAATGGGCCTTTTATCCGAGAAATATCTTATGTTGTTGGTGATAACAGAGAGGCCAAAAGGCCCAAATTAATAACGGAACATTCAGTAGATGAAGGAAAAAGCAATATAACAGATACAAAGGATTTAGATTGTACAATGAACAATGTAGAAAATGAAAATCAAAATCAAGATAAAAGAGAAGTAAGGAATTTACTTATATTTTCTCAGTTCTCAAAAGTAGAAGAAGCTAAGCTATTTCAAGAATGGAAGAAGAAACCACAAAGTAAGTTTTACTTATGTTCTTTTTCGCATATTTAAATAAACTAATTTTTCATCTAAAATTTAATGGGGGCGAAAAAAGTATTATGCCCTTTTACTGGACTTATTGCAAAATATAAAGATTCTAAAACTGGCATACCATATGCAAATGTGGAAGCATACAGTAGAATTCAAAAATTATTACAACATAAATATATTTGGTCAGAAACACATAGTGCATACATAAATGATATTAATCAAAAACCGGCTGCAGGTACACCTGACAGTTTTCAAGCTGTATGAAATAACTCGAACATTTGATTGATACCTTAATGTTTTATTTGAGATAAATAACTACCGGGATGTTATTCAAAAGAAAAATTTTTGTGATGAAATTCGATATTAATAAATAATATGAATTTCAAAAATATAAAAGTATCATACGCTTTTTTCAGTCTTTGTGACTGAATCCCACCGAACTTCGCGATTCAACTGATCGAATTATAATAATTGTATAGTTGTTTGTTATTTGATTGTTAAACATGTTATCAATAAAAAGTTGCAAAGGCAGTGATGCAGAGCTGTGAGCTGAACAGTCGGCTACAGGTCTGTTAATAAAACATCGACTCCAAAAACGGCTCGGCTAAAGACCTTGAAGCTGAAATAGATAAATAATTGATACAACTTCATTTTCTCTTTTTTTACTTTTATTAATATCGTATAGAAAAGCTAGCTACTACAAAGTAAAATACGGTGATACGTATAAATACAGTATAGGCAAGGCGGTTTTCTATAGCTACACTAATGTGCGATATTATATCTTCAATTCTCTATCGCTATTTATAACTAAATTAAGCGTTATTTTGTCCGCTTCAATACAGATGTATAGGCTGCAGCGAACTAAAATTAGTTAGAAAAAGGAGAATTTAATACTTTTAAAATAAATTATATACCAATGAGTATTCATACTTTCATCTACTATTTTAAATTAATAAATCTTTAATGATATATACAGTATCCCTTAAACTGTAGGCAATTCCGGGCAAATTTGCCTGAAAATTGCTATAAATTTGTTTATGATTTATTTTTTTTAAAATTTGAAATATTTAAATTAAATTTTTTTGAAAATAAAGATTATATTATAGTAGTATTTGATTTTATATTATAAGAAAAAAAGTTTGGGTTGTTTATAAGCTAAAAACAAATAAATTTAAAAAAAAATTTTAACAAAAAAAATTATTTACAAATTTTTGATAAACTCTTTAAATAGTAGTTTTAAATCTATAGTTCTTATTACAATATTGTAGTTCATATAGGTGTGACAATTTAGTAAAGTAGTAAAGTTGTTGCACCTCCAGATAGCAGGTTTAAAGTTTGAATTTCACAGATGATGTTTTTGAAAAATAGTCCTATGATATGGTTAACAGCTATTTAATAATTAGTAGGATCTAGAAATCTATAATCTTGGTTACACCAAAAGCTTTGGTACAATAAAACCAAAATATCAAAATAACTAAAAACCTGTTTGGCAAGTTTTAAGTTAGA